GACAGAGAGGAGAGTTCCTGGAATAGTTGAGAGAAGCTCTCCTCTGGAAGAGACAGGGAAGTGGTCAGCTTTAGGGTCTCCTGTCTGGCCTCTCCTACCCCTTAAGCTAGCACATGGAGGGGTCCTTTTCAAGGCTGGTCTGCCTGGACTTTGGAAGGTGTGTGTTAGTAGCCTCTGTCCATGCTCCTGAAGCTGACTACCTGCTATCTGAGGAGGCCCAACCCTGTTGTCCCTGATGCCACTCCTGCCCACTGGTACAGAAGGCATTTCTATTCCCGAATCCACCAGAAAGGTAGCTTTTGAGAAGAACATGGCTCTAAAGGTGGATGGACAATGATGGAAAGGGATTCCCAGGCCTCAGAAGCCCAGCGTGGATCAGAGTCTGAGACATGCCAGACATGAGCTGGAGAGGACCAGCCTCAGGCCCTGAGCCCTGGGAGGGACGAAACCAGAGATCTTGCCAGGTTCTATGTGTGGAAGATCTTGCATGGAGCAAGGCCTCTCTAGTTGTGAATTCTGCCATGGCTCACCCCAGAGGCAGGAGCATGGAGGGGATGGCCTTCCATATCATCCTCACCCCTGTCCCAGTTAACATTGCTCCCAGCCCGGCCCCTTCAAAGTACCTGATTCTGATCTCTGCCATTGGGGTGGGGATATGCCATCCCTCGTCTGTCCTCCACCTGGGACCATCTTAGTGATCGTTGCACTTGGCTTCCTAGACACAGAGTTGGTCATTCTCCCTGAGATCTTGGAGGAAGTTGGGGCTGTCTACGTGACATCCCCACTTAATTTCAACCCATCTGAATTTGAACTCATGGCCTTCATCTGATGTTCTCTCATAGACCCTGTCTTTGTGATGGCCCCCATCCACCCCTCCATCCATGCAGGAACTGGGATGTAGTCCTGACTCCTTCTGGCTCCCTCTGAGAGTTGATTGGCCACCTTGTCACTGGCTCTAGTATAGCTCTCCTTCTAGTCCCTTCTCTCCACCTCCACAGCCTCCACCTCCAGCCAAGGATCTGGCATCTGTGGCTCCAACCACTGCATCCTCCCCCTGAAGGTGCCCTCTTCTTCTCTTGTCCCTCTCCAGGCCATTTCTACACAGCAGCTGATCTTTAATTTGAACCTGACTCATCACTTAGCTACTGAAGCCCTGAAATCTTTCTTTATTGCTTTTGAGGTAGAAGCGGAAGTTATTAACATGGTCCAAAGGCCTCTTTGTCCTCCCAACTGCCTGCCACCCCTCAGCTCCAATCCCACCTCTGCCACTCTCCCTGCTCACTCACTTCTGATCCAATGCTGCTCAGAGGCCTTGTAAAAACACAGATTCTGATTCAGCAGGTCTGGAGTGAGGCTTGAGATTTGCATTTTTAATGAGCTCTCAGGTGATGCTGATGCTGACACTGCTGGTCCATGTTCCACACTTGAGTAGCAGTGTTTCTGGTCCCTGGCCTCCTTCCATTCCTCAAAGGAGCTGAGATCAGAGCCTCTACCTCTGCCAGGAAAATACCCACTTGAGGCCCAGCTAAGCCCTCCCACCTTTCATAACTCAGTTCAGGTCCTTTGGACGGACTCAGATAGGCCATCAGATCATTCATGCTGATCCCAGGCACAATGACTCATGCCTAGGGTCACCTGGGCCTGTGTCCCTGCTGAGTTAATTCTTAGGAGTTGGGCCCATGTCCATGGTCCTGTGCCCCACACACTGTGGGTCTGAGGGGAATGCTTGTTCCCTGAGGAATGGCTCCTCCTAAGCCTAGGAGCCGTTCCCTGCCATGCCAGGTGAGGCAGAGCAGTCAGAACCAGGGCATAAGTGCACTTTGCCGTCACAAGTCGAAATATACCAAATGCCCCAGAGGAAGATGCATTCTCCTCTTCCCAGGGCTTCCCCTCAGCTTGGCTGTGTACATGGGTGTTTATATGTGTGGAGGGTGAGTGAGGGTGGTCTTCCCCCCCTAAGCTCTCTCTCCTTGTCTTTGTCTCCTCCTCGTGGTTGTTGCTCACTTTTTTTCACTTATTCATCTCCTTATCATCTAGTGGAAGGCTTTAAACAGAGGAGCAACATCATTTTGTTTGCACCAAACAAATGAACAAACAAACCAGAGAACAGCCAGGCCCCATGGCCTCAAACTGACCACATAAGAGTTGGTCCTGGGATTTCCTTCCTAGAGGCTAGGAGGTGTCCTGGAAAGAACGAGCCACTCTCACAGGCCCTGTGTTCTGGAGTTTCTGTTGGATTTGTTCCAGGGATAGGAGCCACCCATGGGGAAGTGAACTCTGGGGATTATAGAGAGAAGTAGACATTGTATTAATTGCTCTACATAAGCTCACCCAAGCCATGAACTGCATAGCTAGCAGAGTTGTTGCAAGCTCAAACATATCACAGAGGGATTTGAGTCGTGTTCCTTGAGGAATGGCTCCTCCTAAGGCCTCCTTATGGCTTCTGCCATACTAGGTGAGGCTGAGGAATGGGAACCAGGGCATAGATGTATTTTGCAGTCACAGGCCAAAATATACAAAAGTGAAGGCTCATGGGGCTGCAGCAAATTCCTAGCAGGAAATCATATTCTCCTGTTCCCAGGATTCCCCTCAGCTGGGCTGCGTGCATGGTTGTTTATATGTGTGGAGATTGAATGGGAGTGGTCTGTCCTCTCCAAAGCTCTCTCTGCTTGTCCTTATCTCCCCCTCAACATCATTGCTTTTCTTGTGCCAAATCTCACCCGCTCACTCATACACTTTTCTTCATTTTTTTTACTTCCTTATCATCTCATGGGAGGGTTAAACAGAGAAGGGGCATAATCTTGTTTGAACTAAAGAAAGAAAGAAACAAACAAACTCACTCTGGCTGCTGTGGTTTCCTGGCTTCTTCCTGCTTCTGTCTATCTCTGCTTCCAACCTCACTCCACCCCACCCCACTTCGGCCCATGTTCCTGGAACAGCCTCTAGGAGTCAGCCCTGGGCCTGGGTTAGCTCGAGGGAGTTCTGTGTCTTCCCCTTACCGCCTGCTGATGACCAGCTGAGGCTTCTCCTGCCGCAGGAGACTCAGCATCTCTGTCACCTCCTCACTCAGTCGAGTCAGGTTCAGCCTGCAAGCAGAAAGGAAGCCTGGTTGTACTGGGGCCCCCCACGATCTCCAGGGCCTCAGGGCCCAGAATCATGGAACCTTCCAAGCCCTGCAGGAACGTGTTGTACGCTGGGTTCCCTGAAAACACGTTCTATGATGGAAAGTAGAGTTAGGAGGTTTATTAGGGAGTGTTCTTGGGTCAATACCAGGGAAAAGGGAGGTAACAGGACTTGGTAGAGGGACAAGTTGGGGTGTGATGCAGTCCCCAGGGACACAGCTGACGCTGTGGGAAGTTTTGTGAGGATGATACTCCAGAGCTGTCCATACTGGGAGAAAGGTCCTTGTACCACAACCCCAGTCACTGGATGCAGGCCACCCCAGGGAGGGGAGGTGACCTTGTGTGAGATGGCCCTAGTTGGCAGAGCCATCCTTCTTGCTGGCAGCACTCCCAGGGGTGGGGGTTGGGTCTTCTTTCCTGAAAGCGAACTGGGCAGCATTTCACAGCATCCACCAGAGAACAGCCAGTGTCCATGGCCTCAAACTCACCACACAGAAGTAGGACCTGGGATTTCCTTCCCAGAGGCTAGGAGGCTTTCTGGCAAGAAAGAGCCAGTTTCCATTCTCACACGCCCTGTGCTCTGGGGTTTCTGTTGGATTTGGGATGGCTGCTGCCCACTTTGGGCCTCCATGTCCTCACCTCCAACAGGGAGGGACCTGCTCCGCCTATTATGAGCCATGGACAGGCAGGTGTGAAGACCCTGCACCTGTCAGGGCGCACACCTTCCTCATTCCTGCTGTCAGAGCTGTTCTCCCCTGGGAAGGGGATGGGGCCATGATGCAGAGGTTGTCCCTCTCATCCCAGTCCCAGGGCCCTAGAAGGAAGGAGGCATAAACCTTCGCAGGATGTCCTAGAGCTGCTCTGAGGCAACCAAAAGGCAAGGAATAATGGGTGAGTAGGGGCATGGACACAGACCTACTGAAAAGTCCCAGCTCTAGAGAGCCCCTTCAGCATATAGAAGATGGTGACAGCCACACATGATCAGAGGGGAGGGGGCTGGGTGGTGGTACCCCTATGGGATGGGGTGCCCTTGGTTGTAAAGGGACAGAGTGGGCTCTGGGAGGACCCACATGTAGAGTGTTCACCTCCTGCTGCTTTAGGTTTGAGAAAGGAGGACTGGCGGAGGAAAGGCTGAGAGCCGGCAGGAGCCTCAGCCAAGACTGAGGGGTCAGGACATGGAGGTTTGGAGCCCTGTCAGCTCTGTGAGTGTGAGACAGGCCCCAGCCAGGAGCCGCAGGGAAATGTTCAGTCAGAAACTGGCTTTGGACTTGTTTTCAGGCTGGAGGGCAACAGGAAGTGGCCGGGAGACAGGGTGGGAAAAAAGGGCTGGGGGTCACTGCACCCCAGCCACACCGCTCTCCAGAGCTCTGAGCCTGTTTCTGTCCTGGGGTCTCCCCCACGCTATTTTCAGCTTGGACTGCTCCCCCAGACTGGGCCTGGTCAACCCCTGTTTCTGCTTCAGGTCTCAGTCTGATGTTACTTCCTGAGAGAGGCCCTCCCTGCCCCTGAGTCTAATTCCATCCCCGCCCTGTTACACTCTCATAACACAGTGCACTTTCCCTTCACAAACTGCGTGGAGCTCAGAGATACACACTGCGTGTTAACATGTCATCAACATCTGTCTCATTCTCACTGGAGTGGGCAGGACCCACACCTGTTGCCCAATATTGTCTCCTCAGTGCATGGCCCAGTGCTTGGCATGTGGGAGTCATGAAATGAATGAAAGGATGTATGAGTGAATGAATGAATGAGTCAAGGTAGGAAGGAAGGAAGGAAGGAAGGAAGGAAGGAAGGAAGGAAGGACAGAAGGAAGACAGGATGGAGGCTTGCCTTGGAATCTCTGAACATGTGGCCTCACCAGTGGTTCTCATTGGAGCCTCTCAACTCTGTTCCCAGCGCTGCTCTAGTTTTACATGCATTTTATTTCATCACATCTATGAGGTGGGTATGAGAGTCCTGTTATACAGATGATGAAACCGAGTCTCAGATGAAGACCTGCCCGTCTTATGACCTAAGTCAGTGGCGGATCCGGTGGGGAAGCCAGGCTGCCCATTCATTTTTCTGCCCCTTTACTTCCCCTGTTCAATTCAGGGCCCTCATACCCCTTTCCATCGCTCTCCCTCCCCTTCCCTGTCCTCTGCCCAGAAATGACCCCAGGGCCTTACCTCAGCTTCCTGAGTTGGCAGGCAGGCTGCCTGAGCCCTTCACAGAGCAGCCTCACACCGAGGTCGCCCAGGTCGTTGTGCCGCAGGTCCAACTCTGTCAGGCTGGGGCTGGCACCCAGCATGGAGGCCAGGTCCTGGCAGCAGTTGTATGTGAGGCCACAGCTGACCAGCCTGTGGGAGAGATTTGCATGTTCTGAGGGCCCTCTCAGGGTAACTGGGGTCTGATTTCCATTTCTAGTACTGTGGCCCTTTTGGGGTCCTTGATGATATTCAAGAAAGAAATACACATGTGTGGCTTATAGTAATCTGGGACATTTTATTTAAAGTTTTATTTTTGGGAGGTGGGGGATGGAGGAGGATGAGAGCAGGCTGGAAGAGGTTTATGGGGGAAAAAGGACGACCTATGTAATACTTTCAAGATTTAAAAATAAATAAATAAAAATAAAATAAAGGTTACAGAGATTGGCAAAAAAAAATTACTTTTAATCCTCACCAAGGATATTTTTTCCATTGATATTTAGAGAGAGTGGAAGAGAGGAGAGGGAGGAGAAAGAAGGAGAGCAACACCGATGTGAAAGATAAAAGAATTGGTTGCCTCCTGCAAGAAGCCCCAGATGGGGCACCAGGAATTAAAGCTGCAACTGAGGTTCTCACCCTTGACTGGGAATCGAACCCGTGACCCTTCAATCTGGGGGTCCATGCTCCCACCACTGAGCCGAATCGGCCAGAGCATGGGAGATTTTCATTTCCTCCTGCAGCCAAGGAGCCACTCGTCAACATTTCTCACTCCTGTGTGATTCTTACCAATGCTTCCTACTCTCCACATCAGCACTGTACGATTAATTAAGCCAACCTTGCAGTTGTGTACTGGGCATAATGGTTAAATACATCAGCCCTGCCAAATGCCCAGTTAGCTGACCCGGGATGTTCTGGTGGGGTTCAATGTAAGGGTATGTATCTGCTCCCAACCCCATTCTCCCATCCTGCCTACTTCTCAATTTCTCTCTGATTTATGGCCTTAGGGTAACTATCTCCCCTCCTGTGGCTGCCCACCTCTCAAAGTAATGTCAATGATGAACAACTATGGCTGCAGCCATAGGGTGGAGGGAATAAAGCTTTGTATCTTAGTACCTTTTTTTTTAATTTATCTTATTGGTTTTTATTTTTTTATTTTTATATTTATTTATTTATTTATTTATTTATTTATTTTGTTTTCAGCTTATTACAGTTGTTCCTCTTTTTCCCCCCCATAGCTCTCCTCCACCCAGTTCCCACCCCACCCTCTGCCCTTACCCCTCCCACTGACCTCATCCATAGGTATACGATTTTTGTCCAGTCTCTTCCTGCATCCCCGCACCCCTTTCCCCCCAAGAATTGTCAGTCCACTCCCTTTCCATGCCCCTGGTTCTATTATATTCACCAGTTTACTCTGTTCATCAGATTTTTTATTCACTTGATTTTCATATTCACTTGTTGATAGATATGTATTTGCTGTTCATAAATTGTATCTTTACCTTTTTCTTCTTCTTCCTCTTCTTAAAGGATATCTTTCAGCATTTCATATAATACTGGTTTGGTGGTGATGAACTCCTTTAGCTTTTCCTTATCTGTGAAGCTCTTTATCTGACCTTCAATTCTGAATGATAGCTTTGCTGGATAAAGTAATCTTGGTTGTAGGTTCTTGCTATTCATCACTTTGAATATTTCTTGCCACTCCCTTCTGGCCTGCACAGTTTCTGTTGAGAAATCAGCTGACAGTTGTATGGGTACTCTCTTGTAGGTAACTGACTTTTTTTCTCTTGCTGCTTTTAAGATTCTCTCTTTGTCTTTTGCTCTTGGCATTTTAATTATGATGTGTCTTGGTGTGGTTCTCTTTGGATTCCTTTTGTTTGGGGTTCTCTGCACTTCCTGGACTTGTAAGTCTATTTCTTTCACCAGGTAGGGGAAGTTTTCTGTCATTATTTCTTCAAATAGGTTCTCAATATCTTGCCCTCTCTCTTCTTCTGGCACCCCTATAATTCTGATTTTGGTACACTTGAAGTTGTCCCAGAGGCTCCTTACACTATCTTCATATTTTTGGATTCTTTTTTCTTTTTGCTTTTCCGGTTGGGTATTTTTTGTTTCTTTGTATTTCAAATCTTTGACTTGATTCTTGGGATCCTCTTGTCTGCTGTTGGATCTCTGTATATTATTCTTTATTTCAGTCAGTGTATGCTTAATTTCTAGTTGGTCTTTTTTCATATCCTTCAGGGTCTCACTAAATTTATCGGCGGTTTCCAGAAAATTCTTGAAAAACTTGATAACTGTGGTTTTGAACTCTATATCCAGTCATTTTCTTTCCTCCATTTCTGTCATTTGTGACCTGTTTCTTTGTCTCCACAGTTTTTATGCTTCTCTGTGTTGGTAGAGTGGCTTTGTGTGCTAGGTGTCCTATAGGGCCCAGTGGCTCAGCCTCCCCAATTACCTGAGGTGGACACACTTGGTGCACCCCCTTGTGGGCTTTGTGCACAGTCTTGTTGTAGTTAAGCCTTGATTGTTGTAAGTATCACTGGGAGGAATTGACCTCCAGGCCAATTGGTTGTGAGAATCAGCTGTGTCTATGGTGGGAGAACTTAAGTGCTTAAGACACCCTTATGGGCAAGACTTGCTTCAGTAGGGCTTTGTGCTCACTGAGTCTCCCCCCTGAGTGTGTTCCTTATGGATCTGAGGAGTTGTAATCTGGATGGTCCCACTCTGACCACTGTGTACACTGGCTCTTGGATCTAAGGAGGTGCTAATTTAGCCTCTGCCTGAGGCTACACAGCTGGAGCTATGAAGAGATCTGCAGATTCCTCTTCCTTTTTTTGAGATTTGGAGGTGCCCAGATGAGGACCAGCTGTGAAGCAATGCAAGCTGCTATGGGGCCTGGGGCCTTCTCTTGGAAGTTCTGGGTCTGTCTGGCCCAGCTGCAATTTGTTAGGTAATTTTCAGATTGCAAAGGGCCAGGACATTCATATGCAAAAGTCTCTGCTGCAGCCTGGGTGGGGCGGGGTTTCAGAATCAACAGGGTGGAGCAAGCAGCTCTGGCTGATCCTCAGCCCTGCCCTAAGAGGCCCCGGGTCTCAGTGTCTGTGCATTCGCTGCAAGCACCTCTGAGAGAAAGCCGCCCTCGAGTTCTGACCGATGCCAGACAGTCCAGTTTCTCCCCATACGAGTCTGGGTCCCCAGAGACTTGCCCGGAACTGGCGTTCAGAGCAGTCGGGGGCTTGTCACTCCCTCCCGTTTGAAAAAGACAACCGCGTCCTCAGTTGCCAGCCCTTTCCACATGCACCTTCGTACCTCTGCACTTTACTTCCGCACCTCCTCTGAGTCTCAGTGTGCTTTTCTCTTACCTTCTAGTTGTAGAATTTCCACTCAGCCAGCCTTCCTGTGGTTCTGGATGATGTCCCTTTTGTCTTTTAGTTGTATTTTTGAAGTGGTTTTATGCGGCAGCAATTTCCGGTGTTTACCTATGCTGCCATCTTGGTTTATCTTCTCTAGTAGTTTTTTGATGAAGTCTTTGGGGTTTTCTATGTACAATACCAGGTCATCTGCAAATAATGACAGTTTTACTTCTTTTTTAATTTAGATGCCTTTTATTACTTCTTCTTCTCTGATTGTTATGACTAGCATTTCCAGTACTAGGTCAAACAGGAGTGGTGAAAGTGTGCATCCCTGTCTTGTTCCTGTTCTTAGGGGAAATGGTTTTAGTTTTTGGCCATTGAGTATGATGTTGGCTGTAGGTTTGTCATATATGGCCTTTATCTTGTTGAGATATGCTCCCTCTATTCCCACTTTGCTGAGAGTTTTTATCAAAAATAGGTGTTGGATTTTGTTGAATGCCTTTTCTGTGACTAGTGATATGATCATATGATTTTTGTCTTTTAATCTGTTTATGTGAGGTTTCACGTTTACTGATTTGCAAATATTGTACAAGCCTTGCATCCCTGGAATAATCCCAGTTGATTATGGTGTATGATCTTTTTAATATATTGCTAGCTTAGGAGCATGTCCATGCAGCATTCACTTACTCTGCAGCCATTTTTAATCCTCTATACCAGTGGTTCTCAACCTTCTGGCCCTTTAAGTACAGTTCCTCATGTTGTGACCCAACCATAAATTATTTTCGCCAGAACCGGTTTGGCTCAGTGGATAGAGCGTCGGCCTGCGGACTGAAAGGTCCCAGGTTCGATTCCGGTCAAGGGCATGTACCTGGGTTGCGGGCACATCCCCAGTAGGAGGTGTGCAGGAGGCAGCTGATCGATGTTTCTCTCTCATCGATGTTTCTAACTCTCTATCTCTCTCCCTTCCTCTCTGTAAAAAATCAATAAAATATATTTAAAAAAAAATAAAATAAAATAAAATTATTTTCATTGCTACTTCATAACTGTAATGTTGCTACTGTTATGAATCATAATGTAAATATCTGATATGTAGGATGGTCTTAGGTGACCCCTGTGAAAGGTCGTTCAACCGCCAAAGGGGTCACGACACACAGGTTGAGAACCGCTGCTCTAGACTATTTCTCTTTTATAGAATAGTTTTAGTTTTTCAGCAAAATTGGCGCCCTCTCCCACCCTCTCTTTGAGGTTCTGCAATCTGTTCTGTGTTTCTATGTCTCTGGAACTTTTAGGAGAGTTCTTATATACCTCTGACCCCACATACACAGCCACCCCCATTATCAACATCTGGCAGGAGAGTAGTAAATTTGTTGGAATCAGTGACCTACATTGACACATCATAGTCACCCAAAGTCCATAGGTTACATTATGGCTCACTTTTGGTGCTTTACTTTCTATGGTTTTTTGAAATATAAAATGACATTTATCCACCATTATAGTGTCATATAGAGAAGTCACTCTGCTCTGCCAATTTATCCTTACCTCCCCCAAACCCCTGGCAAGAACAGATCTTTTTACTGTCTTCATATTTTTGTCCTAAGAATTTCACATTGTTGGGATCATATAGTATATAGCTTTTCAGAATGTCCTTTTTTTCAACTAGTAATATGCAGTTAAGGTTCGCCCGTTCTTTTTATAGCTTTAGGGCTCATTTTTTTCACATACTGAATAATATTTCATTGTATAGATATACCATCATTTATTTATCTTCTCACCTACTGAAGGACAACTTGGTTGCTTTCCAGTTCGGGCAATTACAAATAAAACTGACATAAACACTGTTGTGCAGATTTTTGTGTGGACATAGGTTTTCAGCTCATTAGAGTAAATACCAAGGAGCACGATTTCTGGATCATATGATGAGGGTGTGTTTATTTCACTAGGATTCTGCAAAATGACCATATTACTTTGCATTCCCACTAGCAATGTCTGAGGGTTCCTTTTGCTCCACAACCTTGTGAGCATTTGGTGGTGTCAGTGTTCTAGGTTTGGCAGTTCTAATGGGTGAGTAGTTGTAGCCCCTATTTCTAAAATCTAGGCATTGATAATATACATTTCCCTGTAAGCACTGATTCAGTTGCATCAAATATGTTTTGTTTTTGTTTTCATTCATCTCAAAGCATTTTAAATTTCCCTTGTGATTTCTTCTTTGACCCATTGTTTATTTAGGAGTCTGTGGTTTCATTTCTGTGTATGTGTAAATTTCCTAAATTTCCCTTTGTTATTGAGTTCCAATTTGATTTATGTATGTTCAGGTAATATAATTTGCATGGTTTCAATTCTCTTAAATTTGTTGAGATTTGTCTTATGGGGCATCTTATTTTTGCACAGAAGTTAATTTGATACCTGCTTGACATCTCCCATTGGCTATCTCAAAAAAAACTTGAAGATTTTGCACAAAATCACACTCTTGATATTCCACCCCCCGTTCACTCCTCTTCCAGTATTTCCATCTCAGTGAAGGTGCCACTATCCCATGCATATCTCTGGCCTGAACCTAAGATCATCTTCTATATCTCCAACTCCCTTTCCCCATAATTCTAATCTATTGGATTTTACTTTCTTTTTAGATCTCTTAAATCCATTCACTTTTTTTCCATTTCCATGGCTGACACCATAGTCCGAGATACAACTATTTCTTGCAGAAACTATGGTAATTTTCCTTAGTGCAACCTCTCACCATCTTTATTGGAAAACTGAAACTTTCCTATGAACTGATTTCCCAATCTCTACCATTGCTATCCTCCGCTCCCAGTTTTATATGGTAGTCTGGTTCTACTTTGTAAATGTACTGATTTTATCAACCTTTTGATTATAATCACATTGCATTAGAAAAAGCAACCCCAAACTCCAACAAGGCCTTGTATAGACAGTCTTACTTCATGACCTCTGAAGCCTCCTGTGGCTCCTTTGCTCTCCATCCTCCAGCCTCACTTGTCTGCTTTCAATCCCATGACAGCCCATCCTCCCTCCTGCCACAGGGCCTTTGACCTTTCTGCCCTCCTGCTTCACTTAGGTAAAACCTCTGTATTCTTCACATGTCCTTCAATATTCACTTTATAAGGTAGTTTTCCACTGCAGGCCCTTATCTGGGCCTGTAATGACACATTTGTTTGTGTGGTTAATGTCAGTCACTTGCAAGTGGAAACAGAATCCTGTCTGTGTTTGCTTACTGCAGTAGCCATGGTCAGAGAGGGGCTCAATGAATATTTGTTGAATACAAGGATTTTTCAGGATGATCACTTAGTAAGTTTTATAATGTCTAATCACTGGGATGTACATCTGGAACTAATATAATATTGTATGTCAACTGTAATTGAAAAATAAAAAATTTTAAAAACATAAACAAAAACAAAAACCACACACCCATCCTAGACCCAACTTCTACCTTGGATCGCCTGTCCATCCCTGTTTCAGATCAGAACCAAGGCCAGACTCACCTCAAGGTCGCCAGGCGGCATTGAGGGCTTTTCAGGGCGTCACAAAGACTCTGTACTGCAGAGCAGCTCAGAGAGTTTCCACTCAGGTCCAGCTCCTGCAGGCTTCTAGGGACTTTGAGAATAGAGAAGAACATCTTCCACCAGGAATCTGTAAAAGGGCCCCAGCTGTACCTGAGGGAGAGAAAGGGACAGGGGAGATGTGAACGGTGTGTGTGGGGTCTTATGTGCACACTGTGCTCAACACCATGGGGTTTGGCCCCTCTGAGTGCCAGGCTGCCATGGGCAGGGCTATTTCCAAGGGTGATCAGTCTCTGGAACTGCCCCTCTGTTCCCAAAACCCTGGGCTAATTGCCCCCGTTCCTTGTGGTTTCTCATGGTACAGCCCTTGCCATTCTACACTGCAGTGCTCATTTAGTGTGTCTGTTTCTGTATCAGTCTGGCAATTTCTTGTGGGCTGGGGCAGATGTTCATTTTTTTATTTTTATCTTTAGTGTCCATCATAGGGCCTGGCAAAGAGCTTGGGGATGCAGACAGTCTTCCTCTCATCAATACAGACATGCCTTTCTTCCTTTGGCACAGATTTTGTAAAGTCCCAGTTTCCAGAAAGGAAAGGAAGAGATGGGAGGTGGGAACAGAACCTGGGCTAGGTGGTTTAAAGGTAGGTTTGTGATGGGATTGTTGATTATGACTATATATACTGTTGTCCAGATTGGCTTGCGTGGGACCATATCCCCTTCCCAGGATAGCAAGACCGTAGAGAGGTTCCCCAGGAGAGAGATGGCAAAGGGGAATGTTCTAGGAGAGAACATTTGCAGGATGTGGGAGAGGAGGATGGGCTTTGTTTGAAAGTTATAGGCTAGACTGCCTTGTATAATTTCCACCAATTTAAATTCTACATTTCACACACTATTTAAGTGATTTCATCTACTCCCAAATAAAATAGATAAAATAGATTTTATCTATTTCAAGATGCAAACTGCCATCTCTATTCTATTGCCAGATAAGTCCACCTTGATAGCCCAGTAGCACCTTGCCCCAATCACCCAGCCCAATATGTCCCCAACTCCATTCATCTTTCCCTTCATGTCTGCAGACATTGAATTAACTGGTAAGTGGCTCGAGTCTCTTAACCCTTTCTTTTGGGCTGTCCTGCATTTTCTGTCTGGGATAATCGGGGCCAGGCTCTGGGCTGTGACTGCACAGCTACTTCCTACCCAACATCCAGTGCTGGTCAGGACACATTCCCCGAGAACCAGGTTTCCTGGTCCACCTGTCTGTGGGGATGCCTACTGGTCAGGTGTGATCGCCTGAATGTTTCTGACGCTCAGGAGGAAGGGGACGCCTTTCTCTAACTTAGTGTCCACGGGAGATTAGACTCAAGGCCCACTTATGGGGAACACACAGTTGGCCATTCCCCGCACCCCACCCCTGGGATGTCTTCTTAAGAATCTGCAGGCCTTAGGGTTCGCTCAGGACTTATGCCCCAAGTGCCTCATTTGCTATTGCAATGCCGCTTGGCTGCAATACAAATTAGACAATGGATCCCAATGGCCTGAGAATGGTACTTTTGATTTCCAAATTCTCAATGATCTTGACAACTTCTGTTGCCGGCAGGGCAGATGGCCTGAGGTCCCGTATATCCAGGCTTTTTTACACTCAAGGACACATCCTTTTCTCTGTAACAGCTGCTCTCCATCAAAGATTTTACTTCCTCAGGCTAAGCCCCACTGCCACCCCATCTCAAATCCTCCTCCTCCTCCACCACTTTTGATCCCGCTGACCATCCCCCAATCCCCCAGACTACAGCTCCTCAGCATCAACAGCCTGAGAGTCCGCCACCCTACCCAGCAGATCTCACCCCCACCATCCTAACTCATACCAGCTCTGAAGCAAGTTTTAGGCTCTCTTCCTCCCCCCACTCTGGCACTAGCCTTAAAGTGCCCCCTTCGGGAGATTGCTGGCATCAAATCTGGCTTCATGCCCAGGACTACCTGAATATTCTCCACTGGCAGGCCCCTGCCCTCCCAGTCAGAGCAGATGCTGTCCCTATCAGGGATCCAAAATGGAACTATCAGGAAGGGCAGACAGGTCACAGGTCTTGAGACCACATGGTTCTCTGCCTGCTAGAAGGACCTGGAAAGGCAGCCCACAAAGTAGTTAATTATTAAAAATAAGCAGAGATAACCCAGGAAAGACATGAAAATCCTGCAGTCTTCCTCTCTCGCCTTACATAGGCCATGAGAAAATATACCAACCTTGACCCTATAGGCCCAGAAGGAACTAAACCCCAAAAGGGACGTTTTAAACATGATCTTTAAGGTTTTTAATAATAGAGACAAGGAGACCCAAATCCAAAAACAAAAACGAGATCAGGCCAAGGCTGAGGCCCAGACGAAGGCCTTTCAGCCCCTAGCCACCACTCTCATAAACCCCAAATAAAGTTCCGGTCCTCCAACCAAGGGTAAGTCAGGGGCTAAGCCTCCTCCGGGACCATGCTTCAAATGCAACACGAAAGTACACAGGACCAAGTCCTGCCCAAACCGGAGACCCCTCCTGGGCCCTGCCCAAGATGCGGGAGGGAAGGCCACTGGAAATCAGACTGTAGTCTAGCCTCTCCAGGTCAGACCTCAGCAAGGCTGCCCTCTGGATCTAGTTTGGAGCTCCCAGACCTCCTGGGACTAGACTGAAGCTGCCCAGGCCTCGAGAGGGCCCCACAGACTTACATCACCAGGACAGAGCCTCGGTAATGATTGTGGTGGCAGGTAAGCCGATCTCCTTTTCAAGTGACACCGGGACCACTTATTCTGCCCTCTCCGAATTTGCTGGGACCTTTGGCCCCTTCTCAGTCTCTATTATGGGGGTTGACGGATTTGTCTCACAGTCATTAGCTACCTCACCTCTACACTGCATCTTACTAAATACCCCCTTATCCACTCTTCTTGCCCGTCAGGAGCGGTACACGCATCCCCTCATAAAGCCCAGTTGTCTTAAATGACAGTCAGCTACTTCAGTTTCACTCTCATCCCACAAAGCCGTGCCATTCCTTAGACTATAAACACCTCATCTCCTCCGTGACTGTCTCTTCCTCTAAACAAGAAATACTCTCCTTTCTCGGACTCAGTAGATACTCTCGCCTCTGCGTTCCCAACTTCAGTGTTCTCGCAAAACTCCTCTATACCATGACATGGCGAAGAGACTCTTCACTGAGCCTTTAGATCCCAAGGCCAGCATCCTCACCCCTTTAATGCTCTGAAAACTGCTCTGACCTCAGTGCCTTCTCACATCCTCCCATCCCCCTTCTCCAAAGAACAACATTCTATACTGAAGAACTACAAATGCTTACTAACAGTCTGGCTACTATCAGAAGCTGAACTCATTATCACCCAAACCTTAGCATGTTATATTTAAGGAAAAATGTGGCAGTTTTAAGTCCAAGCGGCTAGAGGCCTAGGAGAAGGCTGCTGGGCCTGCTCCCTCCTCCGCCTGCCTTTTCTCCACCTTCATATGCTTATACACACTTTTCTAAAGTCTTTGGCAACTTAAAAGCTTTAGAGCATTGCTGGATTCAACGATAAACATCTAAATATTTCAATAAGTTTTAAGTTCACCTGATTTTAATTTTAATTACAGAAAATCTATAAAATAAATTTAGAACTGTTAATGTAATGTCTTGTACTTTATTAAAGGTATATTTCTTAAAAGTGAGAATGTTCATAAATGTCAATTTAAGAAATGCTGGTTGTTTACTCTTTTATTATCATTGAAAAATTAAGGTTTAAATACTGTATGGTTTTCATAACAGAGGACATAAGGCATTTTTAAAGGAAAACAAAAGTGAGTTAAAGTTGTAAGAATGTTTATGAAAGTTGTAAAAAGGTTCATGAAAGTTATAGAAGGTTTGTAGGAAAAATGTTAAAAGGGAGTTATATACCAGGGAAGTCTCTGAGCAAACAGCTATAACAACTACACATTTCAGTGTGACGAGGAAATTTTCATGGTTGTCATATTTTATTATTAAAAACTAGTGGCCCAGTGCATGGATTCATGCACTTTGAAAGGAAATTAATTAGAAGGTGGCCAGCGGGGCAGGATTGAGTGAGACGGGCCAGACACGCCCTGGAGCCAACCTCCAAGGGTCCCTCCCCAGCAGGCTGCACCTAGGACAGCTTGAAGGGGTCCCTCCGGCA